CACAGGGTATGACTCTGGTTAATAAGCTAAGCAATAAAATTACACTAAACGTAATTGTTAATGCTTTCTTTGAAAAGGCTAAGTAAGTATTTAGTAAGTTGGATTCATGATTTGCTACCATCTTGAACAAGGATAAGGAGCTACTTCTTGCCAGCCTCAACATGAGCTTCACCATAAACCAGCTGTCAGGTGACGACTGTCCTGGCCATTGCTGGTGGTGGTGGTGGGGACCCTCTGTCACCATTACCAAGTAATGTGTGAGTTTTTAGGGTTTTCACTTGACATTTTCTTACCTACCTATTCCTATGACTCGCCCTGCTCCCTTGAAACAGCATTATTGGAATATAAAAACTAAGTTTAATACTCTCAAAAACGGCATAAGAGTAACCCAAAGCATTGGGCTTCTGATGAATAATACTTCATATTTTGTGTCATCAGTATGCGTTACCTCTTACCTCCAAAAACATGGTCTAAGAAGATGTCACGCTGTGCCTCCCTCATAATTAGAATATAAGAAATTCACTATCTTGCTTTGTGTCTGTAGTTATTTGCTGGTAAGGACCTATAATGTTTATGGTGTGGGTTAGCTTTCCCCACTTATCTTCCAGCAGATGCTTATGTTTGCAACCATGTTCTCCAAGCCCTCCTGGACAGGTAGGTGCTCAGATACTTGCTTTACTAGTCTGCGTCTAGTGACTTCTAGCTAAGCCTGCTTCTTTTTCTTAGGGACTGGCCTGATAATTAATTTTAATTTCTTAACTCTCCACAGAAATGAAGAAATTGAAATCTAGAAAATTAATGTATCTTGCTAGTTGCTAAGCTTGTAAATTCTACAGTTTTGTTTCATTCACTTGCACTGTCTTGCAAGTATCATTCCCCTTGGCCTATAGCCTGTGAGTATTCTCTCCTGAGGTACTGGGAATGCATCCCTGGATGAGATGTGGGGAGTAGGCAGTCCTGTGGGACACTTGAGAGCCTGGTTGTGTTTGTATCTGTAATAAGAAGGAATGGACTCTAGCAGCAGCTCTTCTGGGTGACTGAAGACACTCCTTCAGAAATTCCAAGTGGAAGTCCTGATCTCACCTCTGCCAGTTGCTGCTGGATTTGCTGCCATTTAGAAGGGAGTGGGAATGGGCACAGCTGGGAGAGTTAATAGGCTGAGACAGCCTTCAGTGCATCTGATCTATAATGCATCACACTCAAAAGAGGCTTTTAGGGCTAGTTAAGAGAATGCAGTTGAGCCTAGACAAAGTATAAAAATGCACCTCTGGCTGCTGCTGTCATAGCCTGTAAATGTGGTCAGGTGATGGTCAGACTCAGGGGATGGAGAAACACTCAATACTTGGTGTGAGTACCCGGGAAAGCAATGTAGGAACTTCAGTCCCAGTACTTTTGAGGAGCCTGCGAGTGTACAACTCTGGATCTCTTGTGAGTTCTTTGTTCAAAATCACTGGAGTGAAAGCATGTCTGAATGTAGGCACTTGAGGGACAAGAACATTTGGATTTCTGAAGATTCTGATTTTTTGTAATGGCTGTTTTCTGAGACATAGAAGATAAAACTTAAGTGTCCCCTTTTTCTTCCAAGTTATTGCTTTACTTTAAAATGATTCATTTTGGGGAAGTTTTTTTTTTTTTTTTTTTTTTTGATGACTGTTAGCTGAGACTAATGCTGTGTCGGGACCAGCAGTGACCTTTGTTCATAGCATTGCTGTATTTGGAACTACATGTAGGATAGCTATTTCCTAGTGGGTCTTTCCTGAGAAATCAGTAGGTGTTCATGAAAGAGAGAAGCAGTGGGGACTTGGAGACCTTCTCAGACTAATTTGGAATGCCTAGTTTTGGCTCATCTTGTGTGCTTGGGGAGAGCATGTTGAGGGAAGACAGATGGGATAGGACCTGGCCTCATGGCATTGCTGTCTTCTGGTTCAGGGTTAAAGCATTTTCCTTCATAAGTCTTTCCCCCGGAAATAAATAAACGTGGCTGGCCCAGGACTGGACCTCTTTAACCATGTCTGATTTCGGGAGCTGAGTGCCACCTGGAGTGGTTACTGTCTCTTTAGCAGATTGACAAAGGCCCTCTGGAAGAGTGGGCTGCAGTATGACCCAGCCCATTAGGAGTTGGCTAGTGCAGCCATGTGGCCTCATGCTTTCCAGACAGGTAAAAGTCAGTCACTTTTCATATGGCCAGAACACTGGCCTAGAAACAAAACAAAAATATAAGAACGTCAAAAGTGATTAACTGGCTAGTCACTTGGGAGGCAGAGGCAGGTGGATCTGAGTTTGAGGCAAGCCTGGTATGCAGAATTGTCAGGGTTACACAGAGAAACGCTGTCTCAAAAAACAAACTCAAAAAAAAAAAAAAAAAAAAAAAAAAAAAAAAGATAACTAAGCAAACTACAGCCTGAATTTGGTAAGGCCAGTTCTAGAAATGTCAAACAGGTGTACTTCTGCACTTGGCTTTTTTAAGACACTGAACATGTTTGCCAAGTCCTCACACTGAAACCACGTGTTGTAGTTTTTGGAGAAAAAATGCTCGTTTGTCCAGGTGAGTATTTTAAGTTCAAATTGTATTTAGGCCTGTTTTGTTCAAGTCAAATTGGGTGAAATTTAAGCATCTGGTTCGATCACATTTCTAACTGGGGAAGGGATGGGAAAAGGCCTGGCTTTGTTGATCTTGAGTTTTCTGCCTCCTGACTCAGACCCATGACTGCTGGGATCCCAAGGATGTGCTGCTGTACCCAGCTTCTAATTTGACATCAACAGAGAAAGGGTGTAAGTAGAATGTATTCCCCTCTTCCCCCGCCCTGTTCACACCCTTTGTTTCTAAGTGAGGACTGTATATAAGCAGTGGAGAGTGAAAGCTTCAGTTTGTCACAGTTTGTGAGATGACTTCCTTTCTCTCCAGTAAAGCAAGTTACTTCGGCTTATCTCCCCAAGTGCACCAGGAAAGAATTCATGGTTATCACTGGGCTACAAAAGAGTTCTTGTATGTTGGCTTCTTTTCAGACTTTTGAATCTAGCCAGAGCTGGTCAGTTGGTATTGGCAGCATTAATCCTGTGTGTTCTACAGGGGTGGTAGACTGAAACTTGACAACATGCTCTAATTTGAACACCTTACTTAATCAAACTGCCAACTGCATATGGTTTGTTTAGCACCAGTCATTAAGTTTTAAGCATTTTGAGGATGGGTATTTTGGAGACCATGTCACTAACATTCTCTGGCCTTCCAGAGTGTTGTAAATTGTTTTGTCATAGAGTATAACAGGGGCTTAAAAGTTAGAGAAGAGAGCATCCATTATGGGATCATGCAGGGGAGAGTGCTTTTTCAATGAACAGTTGGCTGACTGAGTATTGAGGAAGAATTCAGAGTGTTGGTTATGCTTCCTTGTTATTTAGCTCAGGTAATGCTTGCAGATGCCTTGCTTCATCCTTTTGGGTGCTGGGATTACAGATCTGCACTACCATGTTTGGTTAGTTCTTGATGGTGCCTGGTGGAATGGGACTGTACTAGTTGCAGAGTCTCATGAAATAAGGGCAGATAGGCAAATACTGGGTCTAGTGATTAACTGGAGGTGTTCTCATTCCAAAACTTAAGATTTTCAATACTCACTTTAAGTTGAAATTTAGTTGGGGGGGGGGTTATTTAATTCTAGTGCTAGTTTTAGAGTTAATCTTGTGTTCCTGGGGAGAATACACTTGGCTCAGTTACCATTCTTTTGAAGCCTATATAATTGAGACCTTTTTAGAAGGAAGCAAAGCCATCTATCCTTTCCTAATCACAAGTTACTGGTTTCCAAAGACCCTGTACTCATTTCTGATCAATAGAGTGACATAAGATATTCCAGAGAAAGTTAATGAAGTAGGTGTAAACTCCTTGGTCAGTGGAAATTAGGACTTGTACTCGATTGAGACACACCATGCAGGCTTGTCCTTGCACTTAGCTACTCCAAGTGCATCCCAAGGCCTCTTGTGGAAAATGCATACAAAATTGACTGTTTCGGATGGGGGCAGCTTGAGGTAGTGACACTCCATTAGTGCTAGCTGTGAGGTAGTCTCTGGTACCTTAGGATTGGGACCTCATAGATAGGCTGAAGGCAAAGCCACACTATCAGTGTGCCCCACAGAGTAATCTTAAACATATTTCCAGGAACTGGAGGATGGCTATGGAAGCTACACTAACTAGTCTTCCCCATGAATGCCAAATGATCAGAAAGCAGTGATCATGGCACGGTTTGGGTGGCTGTCTCTGGAAAAATAGGTCATGAGTTGAAAATTGGCACCTAAAACTGAGGTCACCAGTGACTACTGAACAGTTAGGAGGCTAGACTAGCTGGTGAAGTACTAGCCTAGCAGATTATAATAAAGCCCTGGACAGCATTCCTTTGATCTCAGCACTGGGAAGGGGAGGTAAGGAGGATCAGTTCAGAGTCATCTTTGGCAACACAGCAAGTTTAATGAAAGCCTGGGGTTCACATAAGATCTGGGCAGGGGATTGTGGGAGTGTTTATCAGCATCCACATTTTTTTTGATTTTGAACTTTTTTAGAAAATGGTTGCATTTTGTTTGTGTTGTATGTGCACTTTGTGAGGCTTCCTGAGGATGTTTGTATCCCATGGACCTCCAGGTACTGCTGTCCCCAACAGACTCTGACCTCCCCCTAGACAGGGTTTTGCTGGGTAGTTATGGCTGTCCTGGAACTCACTATGTATACCAGGCTGACTTGAATCTCAAATCTGTCTCTTGGGATTTAGGGCACATGGCACTATTGAGTGGCAGAAAAAAAAATCTGCTGCACTCAAACTTAGTAGGTGAGGGTGGATGGTACCAGCTGAGCTCAGTTGACATTGTTCAGGAGTGTGAAGCCCTCAGTGGCCCATGCGTGTGCTCAGTTACCTTGTGACTCCCCCTCTGAATCTTGCCTGGCCCTGCCACTGTCTGGAAATAGAGCTCATATTGTGGGACATGGTTGCTTGATATGAATAAGTTGCCAGACAGTCATGTAATAGCTGGAATAAACTTTATTATTATTTTTAAAAACAACAATAGAAAAGTACCTTTACACAATTTATAAAAGCATAATCGTTGGTGAAGTGGCGCTCTTTTTTTAAAGCAAGTAGGAATCTCAAAGCCAAGTGGCACTGAGGGCACGAGCAGTCCTAGACACTAGCGTGGATGTCCTAAGTCCCCAGCCCCTGCCCGCCCCTTTGCTCTAGTTTTAGTGAAAGGCTCTTACTCCAGGCCTTGGTGTTCCTTTTTCCTGTTTTGGAATAACCTGTAAAAATTTGACATTATTAATTCTAATGAAAAATAATAACCCCCCCAACCAATGATTTAATCATTAAAACATGACGTTTTCAACACAACACAAGCAGATCAATAACAAAGATACAAAGATTGTGATTATGTCTAGCTATATCAGCAGCTGGAAATTCTGAGGTCAATAGATTATTACACATGTTCTCTTCTCTGAGGAGTGGGAGAAGCCTCTGGAAACCTATTGGTTTACAACAAGACTAACTTTGGGTTTTGAAGAAGTTTTGCAGCAAAGTGTGAATGGCCATGGTTACCTGTTCCACCCAGTGCAGTGTAGTGGGTAGGCTGAGGATGCACGAGCACACACTATGACAGATGGCTGTCAGGCTTTAGAACACCAGCTCAGATGTGCTGTGCACATTCACTTTAAGATGTGATGCCCATTGCAGCCAAGCAAGCTGGGTGGCCAGCCTGCCTCTCCCGAGGCCATGTGGGCCTCAGAGGTCCAAACCAAGGTCCCTGCACTTAGGGGGGAACGTAAGAACATAATAAATACAAGTCTACAATGGCAATACTTCACTTGACACAGCCTGTGTTGTTGCAGCCAGAGCCACCATGGTTTTCAAATGGTACACTGTGCTCAGGATACATGACCTAGGTAGTAGTCTTTGCCCAGTTGTGAATACAGATGTTCCTGGGGGCTTTGGTTATCTTGCAGAGTTCATTTCTACACCATGTTACTAAAATGTGCCCTAACTCTGGGCCAGGCAGATGGAGTCCACATATTCACAACACATTTGTGGAAGTTCCGATGCTATTCAGAGACATGCCTCAAACATGCAGCTTATTAGAAAAAAAAAACGAGATAAACATTAAAAGCATTCAGAAATGAAGCGCAAAAGTGAGCTAACCTAGTGTAAGAACTCATCCTTCCATTCTTAAAATGTCTGTTAGAAAAATACTAACCGTCTTGGCTTTACTGTTGTCTTTGTTCTATCCGAGGATGTCTCCAAACTGTACAGCAATGTCAGACCATGCATTCACAAATAACACGTATTTCTTAAAATTATACAGTGTAAAAGAGTAAAACACATTTTATTATATGTTTTTTTTTCTTTGAGGAAAACAGATGTGTGATAGAGGCTGTGGCAAAGTCTTGAAGGGATCAAAACTGGGCAAGGCATTTTCAAACCTGCAACAGAAAGAAAGTGTGTTGGAGAGCAGCAGCCTAGACAGTCATCAACAATCAGCACCTTCAGCGACATCACTGAGCCTCTGTGAAACCTGTCTTGTCAGCAGACTCGTGGGTACTGGATAAAGACCTCAAGCCAGGTGCCATCAGCCCTGGAGGCTGAGACAAAAGCATCAGCTGGGGGTCCAGGCCAGCCTAGGCTACAGAGAGATCCTATCTGGAGAAAAGAAGCAAGGGGCCCAGCAGATGGCTCAATGGGTAAGCATGTTAATTGTCAAGGCTCATAACCTGAGTTAGTCCTGGGGACTCCTGTGGTGGACGAGAACGAATTCCTACAAGTTGTCCTCTCACCCCTCCACACACACTAAAATAATGTAAAGAAGAAAGCCCCTTCTTTCCCTGAAGTTTGAACAACTCTCACGTGTTGTGTGGCAGAATCAGAGGCTGGTCTTATTTTTTTTCTTCTTCTTCCTTTCCTTTTTTGAGAATGGCTTCCTTTGTAGCCCAAGCTGCCACTGAGCGTAACCTCCAGCCCAGATCCTGGACTTTGCTGTCTATCCACAGTGTTCACAGTGTTGTAGTGCTGTCCAGGGTACACTGTACAAACCTTTTTTTTTTTTATCTTGAGTCAGGGTTTCTCTGTATTTTTTGGAGCTTGTCCTGGAACTAGCTCTGTAGATCAGGCTGGCCTCAATCTTGGAGATCTGCCTGACCGAGTTCTGAGATTAAAGGCGTGCCCCACGAACACCCAACTTGTACACCTGTTTTTACTGTCATTCATTTTATATTGCACAACACCCATGTTTTCTTGCCATCTGACAGGTTAGGCATGTGCTCTCCAACAGAGAAGTTTATGTAATAATAACGACCTGCAAAATGCAGTGACTATGCACCTGTAGCTTGGAAAAGCACCAGTGAGAAAGCAAGCTGTGCACAGCTTTGCAGAGCAGGAACTGACCTGCAGGCACACTGTGCTGTGACTAATGCTTTTCTCCCTCCCAGTTGCTGCAATCCTAATACATCAACAGCTGCTTCCTGTAGTAGGAAAGCCTTAGCCTTGCAGTGACCACTTCCTGGCAGCAGTGTTCTGAGTCAGAAGTGTTTGTCTGGTAGGGATAAACAAAGAACTAAAGCTCTCTCCTTTAGGAACCTCTCACTTCCTGCCTCCTATGCTGCTTCTCACACCCTGTGTTGCTCAAGTGAGGAGAATCTAAATGTGTCCATCTCTAGGGGGGCATGGTAGTGCATGCTTTTAATCCCAGAGGCATGGGGCCAGCCTGCACATGTGAGTTCCTGGCTAATCAGAGCTACACTGTTAGACCCAGCTTCAAACCAGTAGCCAAAAAACTTTCAAAAAGTGCCCATCTTTTCCGTTAAACCCTAATTTCTCCGAGAGTGGGTGAGGCCCAGAGTTCCCACAAGCTAGGTATTCATCAGGTGGCGTTTCCTTGGCTGGGCAGGAGTGGGAGTCTAGGGCAGAAGAGGACAGATGGAGTCATATTTTAGATGACAGCAACAATTCCTTTTTGTGAGCCTCTGGCCTCATAGCCTGACTCACTTCCTCACATCACTTACGTACCAAAGGAGCTGAAGCTCTCTCTTCTGGGGACACTCCTGCCCTTGCTCCCTATAGAGCAGATGTCACAGAAACAATACAACCTTCCACCCTCTACAACTTGTGCCGCCTCCTGACCATGAACACAATCCATCAAACCCTGGCTGTACAGCTACAGCAAGAGTTCCTGCTGTAGAGACTCCCCAAGGGCAGCACTGGCCTCTGGGGAGAGAACAGGTCTGCACAGATTCTGGTTTAGAAGGCCATCTTGGGAAAGCAGTAAGCTAAACAGTGGGATGCTGCTGTCAGTGAAACTGAGAAGGGACAGACAGGCAAGTCTATACTAGCCTCTGAACTGTTCCAGTCAAAACTGTGACCATCTTCCCACCAACCCTGAGTAGCAGAAAATGATTCAACAGCCCCTCATACGTCTCCATAGGCTCATAGTCCCTAGGTCCCTTAGTATATTCTTCAAGACACCATCATTTACACTATCTTTGAAAACCTACCTTTTGTAGGCAGGAATTATGTTGGATAAGACCATCCTCTACCTCAGAGGGGCAAGCAGGGAGGGTACAGAAAAATGTCCATTTAGACACCTAGAGGCCCAGGGGTCTACATAGTGCTGAGGCACCCTTGTGTAGGAAGCTGACCCCTTGGGGTGGGGTGGGGTGGGTGCATAAGCCTCTGACAATGGCTTTGGAAAACACTCTGCTTTCCCTCCTGTGCTTCCACACAGGATCTCAGGTTGGGAAAAGAGGATTGCAGAACCTATAGTTCCCTGAGCTCTCCAGAGCCCCATGGAGACTTAATTCTCACATGGGAAAGGAATGTATCCACATTGCCATCTATGTCTCAGACTGAACACAGGGTCAAAATGTAGCTATTTCAGTCCCTGTAAACAAGGAAGAGGGTTAGCAAGGAATGGAGTTCAAACCTTGGAATGTGTTAACAAGGACATTTAAACAGAATCCAAAGACATCCGGGAACACAGCGCCCTGGAGGGGCAGTGTGCTGGGTGACTAGGGCCCAATTCTGTTTGCAACTGAGGGGCCCGGAACAATGTGCAAGTGGTGTCGCACAAAAAAAAAAAAAAAACAGATAGGGGTGACACAGCTCTGTGTAAGCCTAAGGACAACCTAAGCTTGAGGAAGCCCCTGAGAGTTTCCTGGCTTCTTCCATGTGTCTTCTGTGTATGCATGTGTGTAAACATGTACAACACAATTAAAAAAGCAGAAATAAATTCCTGTCAAAGTTACTTGTATTGAGTAAGCTGTAGTTCCACATTGGGAGACTGCCCTGCCTGAGATCTGACCAGTACATGCAACCACCAAACAGCTGCTCAGCTGGCTTTGATATGTAAGGTCACTGTGGCACACTGTCGACTCACAGGAGGAAGATAAAGTGGAACAACCATTTAGACGATTTCTGCCTTGCTAAGCTACACTCTACCTGGCCAGACACCAGGTAAATTTTCTCTCCAAACCAATAAACAACTGCTTTAACCATCCATCTACATGAGTGGCCTCATGACTTAATGATTTCCTTCAAAGCTTAACTTTAATCTCTAATGTTCATTCTTGCCAGCTCAGGTAAGAAATTTTCCTCTGCTACCCTGACTCCATCAGACATTTTTATAGTGGTCACCTTAACTAAGTACTAATAAGTGAACATTTAGTCTGTAGTCTTCTGCAGAGACCAATCTCCATGTACCCTCCCTGGCCATGTTTATGCATGGCTCCAGACCTTCTTGGCAGAGACAGCCTAAGGGTAGAGGGAACACTTCCCTCTTCAGCCCAAGGTGTGCCTGTCTGGCAAGGATGACTCACGTAAGCATAGATTGGCGACAAGAACAGCCTCCAAGTCTTGGGAACGATAGAGCCAGGAGCCGAACTGTCAGTGCCAGGGAATGCCCTCCTTCCCTGCCACTACCACCACCCATCTTCACCATTCCTGGGGCATCACCCACTTCTGACACGGGGCTGGTGAACGCTGACTGGGGAACTCAGAGGGAGGGCACTTGCCTACGACCTGGGTTTTACCCCCAGGACTACGTCTAAATTACTCTAGAGAAAACCTATGAAGATCAAGAATATCATGGGCACTACTGTGTGGGTTATGATGAAGAGACAGATTCCAAGGCCATACAACAAATGGGAGGTCAGCAGCTCCTCTGTGTGGCATGTGCAGTGCCTTGGATAGCTTTGTGCTACTGTGGGAAACAGACCAAGGAAAGGTACATTCTGTTGGTGACTTAATTCCCAGGTGCAAGGTAGGCACAGTGGCACACACCAGAGTGTTAGAGAGGTGTTGTCCTCCACGTCATGGAATTACCCCAAATGCCCTAATGACCTCTTTGGTTATCTGTCTGAGCCCCTGTCCTCAGTGGCAACCTTGCCTTCCTCCTTGACTCTTTTTTTTTTTTTTTTTTTTTTTTTTTAAAGCCCCTCATAATGAAATTTGCTTCCTTCTTTGGGCTGAGGCATGAAGTGTCCCTGATATTCTGTTACCGGAAGCCACTTCTGCAAAAATCACTGAAAGCTGCCATCTGAGGTGGCAATGAGCAGGTTACTTTGGTAGGGTACATTGTAATTTCATTTACAGACTTCTACCCAGGGCCAGGCTTGGTGGCAGACACTTGTAATTAATCTCAGCACTTGGAAGGCCAGGGGAGTAAGATCCCAAGTTCTACATAATGAGGCCCTCTTCAAACCAAAACTGACATGATAGCTACTACCAACTGAAATGACAGGCCAGGGAAGCCCTGTGACATGGAGGGGCTCCTGGAGAATTTTACAGAATTAGTTTAGCCTCACTCTAATTTTAGGAGAAGCTCAAAATATGTCTGTCTCTTAGTACAGAAATGCTGTCATGCTTAATTGGACAGATAAGAGGGCAACAATACTGTCTCAGATTGCAAACAAGTTTTGGGAACTGAAAGGGAGGAAAAAGCTTCATTTTATGATATTCCCTACTCCTGGGGTAGCCAGGCATGATAGCATATATGTTTCCCAACACTAAAGAGGCTGAGGCAGGAGATTCAAGACTGAGGCTAGCCTGGGCTACATAGTAAGGTGCTGTTTCAAAACAAAACGCACCCACCCAACTACCTGTTACTACTAGCCTTGCTGACCTGAAGTGGTTTGTGGCTGGTAGTCACCGGAAGGCCTGCCAGGCAACCAGAGAGGGTACTATGCAGATATCACAGGTTGACAGAGGCTGTGGTTCCAGGAGATACTGGTGCCCATCCTGCCCACACTGGTTGCCACCTGACTTTGGCACTCACCAGCAAGCTCCAGTTTTGCAGAACAGCTGGATGACAGTCGCCATCAGTGAAGATCGCATTAATACCCCCAAGACAGATTGCAGCCGCCATCACACACCCGAGACCTGGGTGGACAGAGAGATCGGTTAACTGCACATGGCAACCTTTCTGTGGACCTCATACTGCCCTGGGTCAGAGCGACCAGCCAGCTCTGTTGGGGCAAGGAGCTGAACACAGCTGCCACTGCAGGATGACCTTGCAAGTAGTACAAGGCAGGCAGGCAAGTGGAACAATGTGACAAACTATTGGGCCAGAGACAAGGGCAGTCAGAGAAGTCATTGAGGTAGAAGCCCAAACATGGGAAGCTGCCTATACCAGCCCGTGGAGACTGCATCTTGAATTATAGTGGAGGATTCCAAGGGCCATCCCAAAGCCTGTCAGCCAAATCATTAGAGATAAAGCCCCACACAGACTCTGAAGCAGCCCCTAGAACTGGTGGCTGTCCTGACTTTAACAGCTTTGGAAAGCTGTGCCATCTGAAGAATCTGCTCTTCCTGGAATTAGGGGTGAGTCTGAAGGACAGGAAGCCTTCCTAATACACTGTTTTACGAGAATAAGCGAGTAAGATTGCATTACAGAAACATTTAAAAGGGGGTAGGTTATTTGAGGGAGAAAGATGCCTAATCTCCCCCAACCTCTGTCACACTCCCACAGTGACCAAGAGTGTTCCCCAAGGTTGGCTGTCAATAGCAGCCCTATGGGGCCTCCTGAGGCTGCCAAGCGTTCTCAGATGCCCATTGCTACTGAAGTCACCAGTGGCTTGCTTCCCCATGACTTCTGTGCTTATGCTAATCAGTACTAAATTGTTACTGAATATTTACTGTTAGGAGTTCAAGTATGATCTTGATAAAGTAGAAATAGGAAGGGTAAATCACAAGAACTACACTGGCTTCTGAGGATATTGCAGTAGAAGGAAACAAAACACTGGTGTCTTTTAAAGGAGAGAACAGGGGTGATTACTGGAGCCACAGCAGCCATAAACTGCTACAAATCCCAGCCATTTTATCTCCCATTATTTGGTGAAGCTGTAACACATGCTCACAATTTATGTGGCGTGGGTGAAAGCCAAGAGAATCTCACAAGTTCTTAATATTATCTCACCCCACACCAATTCCCAAGCTCCTTAGAAGACTTGTCTAACTATGTTTGGATATCCAACAAGGAAAGCCATCACTGTGTTATTTGTAAGGAGCAACAGAAAACGTGTTCTCTTGCTCCTGGTGGAGCTGGGAAATTGATAGTTTTCAAATGTGTCTTTCAGACATTATTATAGTTCTCATCACATGGCTGGACCATCACCAAAACTCTAGTGATGGGGTGATACATGTAGACAGACTAAACATCACTCATCCATGACTATATGGCAAGCACACAACACTAGCATGCTCAGGCTTCTAAACCCTCTTCTAGAGGTCTTCCTTACAACACCAGTGAGAACAAAGCCACAGACCCTTCTCTGCAGGCTGAGCCCGGCATTCCAAGCAGCTGGTGTGTGTATACTATGTCCACAGGGCTCCCCATGAGAATGTGGGACACAGCAGATACAACCCACATTTATACAAAGAGTAAAGAGCTATGTTAGTTTATATTTCTAGTTTGCTCATTTCTTACATCAGCACTAAGAATCAAAGTGGATAAACTAGAGATCCCTACGGTAGCAAGACATAGTGCTGCCACCTGTGAAGACTTGGGAGTCAGAGGCAAGATCACAAATCCAAAACCAGCCTGCTACATAAGACCTTGCCTCAGAAAATCACACACATACCCAAGGCCTCTTCTGGAGTAGGCCAAGGACTATTGAGATTTGAAGGACAGCATATGACTGGCACCCTATTGCCTCACTCTCATCTTCTGTGGTATGGACCTGGCCACCTGGCTAGCACTGACCTTTCTGACATATGATTTGGTCTCTTTTGTTTCTATTAGCTCATCAGCACCACTGTATCCAAATCTGGTTTATATTCCCCCAGACTGCGTACCTTTGATTACTGGTTTACTTGGAAAGGACCTGATCCAAGACTATGGAAGAAGCTGGACTGGTGGCTACACAGGCTAGCTCCATGTGACAATAATGGACACTGTTACCCAAATTCATTCTGGACTGTCTGCACATGACACACACACCTGAGACCTTCTCACACACAGGCTGGCCTGTGGCCCATATTGAATTGTGTTCAAGTGATGTCATGTTGTTTGGTTCAGATCTGTGTGTTGATGGCAGCAGTCCCTAGCCCTGCTTTGGTAGCTGCTGCCACCACTGGGCCTCTGACAGCCACCTTAATGGCCCTGTGAAAAATTATTTCGGGGGGGGGGGGTTTAAAACATGAGCAAGCTTATGTGAAGTGTAGGGTCTTTTAACTGGAACACACATAACTGCTTAAAGATGTGTTTGTTTCTTTAAACCTATATAAACAAACAATGAAACAACAGAGAGGCTTCGTGCCACCATCACCACCATCATTTGCCAACTTGCCCATCAATGGAAGAAATTAGTGTCCCCAGGGCACCTAGCACTGCCGGCAGAAGCCAGATGACTGTTCTACCACTGATTCCACTATGTGCATGTTTGCAGGGTGGTAGCCGCCTGGCCTAGGCCAGGAGCACACTGGGAAACATTGACCTCCCATCACCACGAGGACTCAGCAAGTGCAGTCAACATTCAGCACTGATGCTGCTACCTATGGGAACTCCTTTTGCCTTGGGAAGAGAAGGCTAGCTAGCCCAATAACCCACCATTCCTACTTCCCTTTTCCATGAGCACGCACAAACATGTTGAGGTAGAATGTAAGCCATCACAGGCTTGCTCATAACACACAACCTCTGCCTCGACGCTGGGAAATGTGAGCATCCACTCTATGTGGCCCGCTCTCAGAATAGAAGGGCCTTAAAAGCCTGTCACCATCAACATCAGGACAAACACCCTGCCAGAGCTGCATTAGCGGCTAACAAGGCCCAAGCCTGCCCCTCCACCCATTCACTTCCCTTCCTAGTTCATAAAGGGCCGAGGAACCTGACTAGAAGGTGACTGGGAGCCTTGATGCTCAGAAAGCTCCATTTCAGTCACACACCCAAATTTCCTTCACCTTACAGTTCAGAATTACAGTACCTTGTGCTTAATCAGAAGTTTGGTCAAAATACAAAAGGCATTTGTGGTTTTGTTTTTGAATTTACAAGAAATAATTAATCTGATTATTGCCTGAAGCAAAGTTAGGCCTAACCTGGATGCCCATTTAGGACACTTTATAATCACACTTAGGGGTAGGCCCCATGACTAGTATTATTTCGGTAGACTTTTTGTCTCATATTGCTTTGTTTGGACATTTTGCTTACATATTATAGTTTCTGATTTTTACAGGTTTTGTTCTTGTGTATGTGTCTGTGTTTGTTTTCCTTTTGTCTTTTTTAAATTCTGGTTTATTTGCCTGTTTGTTTTCTATTGGGTAGGTGGGGAGGGAAAACTGACCAGAATCTATTGTACAAAAAAATGTTTTTCAATAACTGAAAAAAATGTATTGTTAAAAAGTGGCTGGAGAGATAGCTCACTTGTTGCTTTTATACAGGACTTTGGTTCCCAGAACCCACCTGGTGACTCAACACCTGTAATTCCAGTTCTGAGGAGGTCAGATGCCCTCTTCTGAACTCTTGGGGCACTTACATACATGTAGGAAAAAAATTTAAGAAACTCATACATGTAAAGAACAAATCTAAAGAACAAATCTAAAAAGATATTTTAAAATATTAAGGCAAGCATTGGCAACAGCAGCAAACTGCTATATATATATATATACATATATATATATATATATATATATATTTTAATGCTGGGCAGTGGTGGCCCACACCTTTAATCACTTGGTGGGTGGGGGTAAAGGCAGGAGGATCTATGTGAGTTCAAGGGATGCCTGGTCTATAAAGTGAGTTCCAGGACAGCCGGGGCTACATAGAGGAACCCTATCTCAAAATAAATCTTTGAGCAGGCGATGTGTCCTCCCTATTGGGAAGATCCTTTGTTTAATACTGGGGGGCAGGTGAACCACAGCTGATTCATCAGATTTTCTGATGCCTGGTCTGCAGACATGAGCAATGCTGAATACTGATGGGATGGGTTGGACAGGAATCATTCCCAGGTGAGACTCAAGCAGTGCTGGGCCTGTTCCTCATTTTCCCATTCCAGGTGAAGAAAATGCTCAGGTGAGGTGCCCTCATCTCTTCTGCATGGAGGAAGCTACTGATTATGGACATTCAGCACCTGTGGGCTAGATGTATCAAACAGCCCCAGAGAAGCCAAGTACTCACACAGCCTTCAGCAGAACTGTCTGGACTTCCAACCCTGAGAAGTAGCCTCGGAGGGAGGGAGCCAGCGCATCTGAAAAGACAGGAAGAGCAGTGAGCCAGGGTCCCACCTCATTCTGGGTCTTCAGACCTACTCACACTGGCCAGGGTGGGATCTCCTGCCCAGGGCCGAGAAACACCACAGCAACATCCTGAGACTTTCCATGTGCCCTATGAACACAGCAGCCAAACTCACAGGGCACCACCCACTTCAGTTGGTGCCAGGGCTAGAGAGATGGCTCAGTGTTTCAGTACTGGCTGCCCTTCTAGAGGACCGGAGTTCAATTCCCAGCAACCACATGGTGGCTCATACGCATCTGTAATGAGAGCTGATGCCCTCTTCTTGCCTGCAGGCAGACATGCAAAGCACTCATACATAAAATTGTAAAAAATTACCCTTGAACTCCTGATCCCCCAGCCTCTACTTCAGAGAGCAGGGCTTACTCTGCTCACTCCTCTTTTACTAGGGAAGAGGGATGGCTTCCCACTGTGACAATAAGCAACACAGACCATGTTGCTGGGATCTGAGTGCAAGTGACAGCAAAGAGAGGGAGCCTGGGAAGTAGTGGCAGGACCTGGACACATGGCAGATTTTCTCAGGCTCAAGCATCAAGATGTAGCAGGGGCCATTTTGGCTGAGGTGGAGGTACAACGTGGCCAGAAGGGAATTACAGCTGACCCCAGGAAGCCCCTGGGGACTCGGGGTTTCAGGGAAACCCACCCCTTCCGCTCTTTCACAATGGTTGGACAAAATCTGTCCTAGAGTTCAGCTCAGAGTGCAGATCAGGCTCTGCTGTTTCCTGCTATCCTGACTCTAAGGGCTGAGAAGCCAAGGAATTGGGACCCAGGGAGAAGCTAATTCTTACACTTTTGTCCTGATCCCTAAGCAGTCCTCGGGGTTTCCAACTCAAGGACCCCTGATAGGAGCCATGTCCCCAGACTGTCAGTGTAGGACAGAGGGGTCACACTAGGGAACTTCAAATTGGGGTACAGAATTCTGCTCTGATGTTGCTCCAACAAAACAAAACAAAACCCTAAGGGTGAATTGTAAGTTTCTGGCACATCAGTGTCTACCTCAAGGCAGCTCCTGGGCCATCTTGTATATGAGGTGTCCTTTGGTGACCATATCAGATATTATTTCCAGAAAGCAGAGACTAGCTGGCCAGAGGCTCAAAAAACACATGGGTAAAGCACATTGCCTGAGAGTCCCCAGAGCCCCCAAAGGTCCTGGAAAACAGGCCAGCATCTTTCCCACCACTCATGGCAAGGAAGGGTTGAAGGATCAGAAACTTGTCCTTGAATATAGACTAAACACCCACACTTGAGGGTCTGTAGGGCAAAAGGAGCTAACAAAATCACAAGGAGAAAATGTGGGAAGAACAGGGTAGGGAGGTTAGAGACAGGAGCAGAGGGGTGGAAGGGCTGGGGACCAAAGAAACCAGTACCTACCTACCTTGGTTCACGGCTCGTTCATCTGAGTCCATTTGCTCACTAAGCAGAGAGCAAAGTTGGAGCTGCCTTCCTGAGTCAGCTGGGAAAGGGCAGCCTAGGGGCCAGGGCCCTCAGGCAGGGGACGCTGGGAATCTAAACCTAAAACTGTCCTTGTGCACTGGGTCAGTGTAGAGCGGTAGTGGCAGTTGTGGGGCCTGGGTGTGAGGTGGGATACCCTGAGGCCAGCATGGGATGGTGTTCACTGAGGGATACAGGGATGGGCTGGCAGGGAGGACAGTGAGCTGTAGGGTAGATGGCATGGGTCTGTAACTGGTGAAGGTGATTGTGAAAGAGGCCTCCTTGCTGTCTGCCAATCTAGTGCTTTCCCTACACACATGCACGCACGCACACATGCATGTACTCCCTCAATCACACTGTGGCAGACTGATCCCCTAGATTGGCTAGGACTCTGCAATGTGCTTTACAAGACACAGTGGTTCTTGCTACATTTCATCTACCTGTGGCACCATCTTCCAGCAGGGGGCAGCACCCACCAGGCCAAACTGCTGTTCTTGCACCATGGAGGGGCAGAGTCCCAGGGGCACAGCCAGGAGTGTGGGCAGCTAGCCCAGGAGAACAAGGTGTTTTATGCTAATCACTACTATTTGGAGGATGGCAAGGAGAAGATTCACCTTTACCCCATATGGGCTGTTTGTTCTGTGGTAGCGTTTGGCTCCAGGTCACTCTTGTACATGCCCTGGAGGCTGCTTCTGACTCATTAACACTGGGAGACCACAGGTCTCCCCAGACTTCCTCAAGATCAGCTCTTCAGAACAGTTAAGTCTACACATTATAACCATAAAAGAAGAGCTGGCCTCAAGGCTCATCCTGGCCATTTCTGCACTGTAGAAGCATGCACGCACACATATACACACACATCCCACAAGCTTGCATACCATTCCAGGGGTTTGAGGTCCCCATGAGAACTTCTAACATAATATTAACCCTGGTGTAATCTGTGCCACACAGAGATAAGTGTCAAGGTTATCACAGCCCGAGAAATCTAGAAACCTGAAATTTCTCCAAATAATGTAGTTGTTAAGAGGGCGAAATCATTGCTCTGAGGCCACACTGTATGGATCCCACCAGCCTCCATCACGAATGCTGCTTTAAAACACTTATATGGTAGGCAACATTGTTGGGAACTAATATCCCAAGTGGTGACTGGCTAGATGGAGTAGCAGATACCTGGGAAGTAAATAATCTAGAGAAAAAAAATTGCATGCTGGAGATAGTTAATTACCCACAAGACACACAACTGAAGCCTGACACTTCAATGCCTCACAGAATGTTTTCATGGTGCATGGACAGAAAGGTCTGCCTCTGTCTCCAGAGCGGCACCCCCTGCAGGCTGAGCATGGCATAACAGGACAGGGCTAACTATCTTTTGCTCTGACTCTCCCCTCACTCTCATTGTCCCCTGCAGAGTCACAAGGAAGGCTTCGGGGCACAGGGATCAGTACAGCTAGTGGACATCCTTTGGTGGCATTTTTTTCTCTGCTGATCACAGGGGCAGGTCTAGAGACCTGCAGTCCCTGGGCCACCAGGCTCACCTCAGCCTTTTAGAAATGTAGCCACATTAGGGCCCAAGCAACAGACCCCATGTATTTATTAATTTATTCACGTGTATGTGTGTGTGTGAGGAAGGAGGGCAGCCTGGCCAAATTGGTTTGTTCTTTCCACCAAATGGTGGGAGCCAGGGATTGAACTCAGGTCATCAGGCCTGATGGCAAGTGTCTACCTACCTAGCCATCTCACTTGCATTTCAAAAGACTGGGCTGCGGGCATGCACACACTCAGATGGGAGGCCCTGCTCTTAGATTTCTAGAAAGGCTTCACAGCACTGTTTGAGAGCAACACCCAATCCTTGGGCGAATTCAATGCGAACAGTGAATACAAGGATCTGCTACGATAGAGGACTCACTCCCGAGCCTCCCAAGGTCACCTGGCCATAGAATCTTTTGGCTCTGTGCCAGCTAGGAATAGCCATGGAGCTGAGAATGGCAGTGTGGACTCCTGACAGTGGGGATGAGGTAGATTTAGGTGGCTCAGGTGCATCCAATGTGGCACCCAAACTTCTAGCTCTTAATGAAACTAATGTTCATTTGAAGAAGACCACACCAGTGACATCCTGGTCTCATAGCTGTGGAACAGACTCCAAAGCAAACCTATCCCCTTTGAGCCTAACAGTTAAGACAGCACTTCAAAAATGGATTTTCAGGGCTGGTAAGTGGCTCAGTGGCTAAAAGAGCTTGCTACCTACACTGCTCACCTGAGTTCGATTCCCAGGACCTGAGAATTGTGTGACCTGACTACAGAGAAAGGCCATCATATTACTCATCCCAGCATCTGGAAAAGGGACCAAGTAAGAACATCTTGGCTGTAGCCAAGAGGTAGCTTACACACACAATCCTAGAACTTGAAATGCTGAGGCAGGAGGATTGCTGCAAGTTTGAGGGCAGCTTTGACTACATGGCAAATACTATCTCAAAATACCATAACGTACCAGCTGGAGCAGACCAGTAATGAAGGTCCTAGGATCATGAACACATCCTCAAAGACCAACCATGCAGGCAGGCACCAAGCACAATCTGCTCATGGCTAACTCTGTCCTGGGCCTTTGTCCTTCCTGGCTGTTCTGTACCTAAGTCAGGCTCCTGTTTCCAGACAGGCGTGTGAAATGCACTCTGATGCCTCCAAGTTCACTGAGACGCTGTTCTGCTTGAGGGCGCCCGAGCGTGTAACACCCTGCGTCAGATTTGGTCCACAGTGGCTGCTTGCCATCCGTATTTAATCTTGTCAGCCTGTTAATTTTTAACTATGTTTGCTAGCTAGGGCCATTAGAGGTCCCTGGGAGCTGAGCTCAGTGAGGCGGGCAGAGCTCATGTACAATGTATGAAGCTTAAAGTTGGGGTGTCCCACTTTCTCATCCTGTCACTGGGTTCTGGCTATCCCCACTGGCAGCACAAATTCTGAATAAAACATGATCCCATTTGGAGTCAATTTCCCTTTTGCTCCCAGCCCCCATCACAACTGGTTTTCTTCAAAGAGAAAAAGTTCACTTTCTCCCTTTCTGAAGCCAGTCTAACAAAGTTTCCTTTTGGCTCTGGGTTTGTTTCCAAAACTCAAAACCCACACAGAATGGTACTGGGAAGCCTGTGTCTAGGGAAGCAACTAGAACCTGTGGTAGAACCTCTCCACCTGCACCACAAGCTCCCCCACTCCCCACAAGCTCCACCACAAGGTCTTCCCCACTCCTGCTGCTGTCCCTGGACCTCAAAACCAAGTCCAGCACGGGTTTCCCCTCTCCAACCGCTACTGTGCTGTTCTGTGCTCTATGCATGGCGTACTGGGAGTCCCCGGCAACACCAGGCTACAGATGGAAAGGTATGGAAACTTCTGTATGCCACACATTTTTTATATTCTTCTTCTCAAATTAACCTCAACGAGATATGTGTTCATCCTTCTATTTAAACAGCAAAAGGAAAGAAACTTGCCTAAAACCTCATGTTTAAGAGAGTGGGTAGCAACTGTCATAAAAAA